CTATTGAGTATTGATTTCTGATATTTTTAAAAATTGTATGACTATTAAAATTATCATCAATTAAATTATATAATTAGTAATTTCTTTATTATTGTAGAAGTATTTTTGACAATCTATTAGAATTTCTTGATAATATCATAAAACTAGTGCTGAAAATCCATATACCTTTGTGATTATATTAAAAATATTAAATTAAGATATTAAATATAAAATAAAATATTAAAAACATTACATAATAGTTATTGAATTAAATATTATTTATTAAGTATATGTAATACATATAGTTAAGAGTATATTATTAAGTATAGTTAACATGCGTTAAAACAAGTTCAGACAGAAATACTTATACAGAAAAAGGTCCAAATTAAGACTGAAACGTTTGATAATATTGTATCACTTAATAAAGCAATAATCAAAATACAACCACATTATGCATATTGCTCGTATAGTTTTCATTTTTATTTGAATTTTAACGAGTACATCTAAAATAGTTAACATTTAATAAAAAATTAATTTAAAAAAATTTTTTTGCGTTGAATTTTTTTCAGATATCATATCACTATTTTGAAGAAGAAAACGGAAAGGTATCAATATTAATAAAAGTTGGAAATGCAACGAATCAAATATTTTCCTTTATGATTAAACATTATAATAACTTTTATAGGTCGAATTTATCTAGTATATATATATATATACTAGATAAAAGTTCGAGGTTTAATGGAGGAGTTCTCGCAGTAATACAATCTATTTTGTGAGGCTCTATAGATTTAAAGTAGTATTTCAACGTCAAATTATAGGAGATCAAGTTTTAAAAGAGGAGTTCTAGGTTCTAATTCCGTAAAAATAGGTTCATATAGGCTGTATGAGCATTAAAAGAGACGCTAAATTTCGACTCGGGAAGTATTTAATTTTATAAACTTTACTTGTCTGTTAAACTTGAAAATATTATTTTATATATTACATTTCTATTTTATTCTTTATCGTAATTCATGCATTCGGGAAATTCATTTGTATATAAGATGCATCTGAGAAAAATTATATTTAAAATTATTGTAAATCGTAAAAAAGCTTATGAAAATTGCAAAAGTATGAGCGAAAGAAATTAAAAATTTAAGAATGTAAGGAAATATTTCACCTCAGTTAAACATTCGATTGTTTAAGTTTTATAACTATGACTTTTATGCGATATCAAATAACAATAGCAGGAAGAGCGTCCTACTCTCCACCTTCAACTAGATGCCTGTAAGAGGAAAAAACCTCAAGATTACGAGGACGTTCTCCCGGTAACGGGATAATAAAGCGACGAGCATTGTAGCTCGCCGCAGACTTTTTGAAGTTTGCTCTATCTCCGGCTTCTATCTCACTAGCCATTTACGTTATTTTCAACATTTTTCGTCGCATGTCTCCCTTTCCACCCTTTTCTACTATTTCCCGCTTTGTCTCTTCTTGCCCAGAATAAAAATCTTCCGGATCTAAAAACTTTGCAGTCTCGAAGAACTGAATCGCGATTTTTTTGCGCAGTTTTCGCGAGTGCTTCTTCGAAACGCGTTTATTTGCGCAACAGACAAAAACAAATATTTGAACATGCAAAATACGTTTTACAAAGTGTTAATAAAATATTATCTTTGCAAATTTCAGCGAACCGGCCTTTGAAAATTGAGGTTCTACCGCCTTCGATATCCTCCGAGCTGGAGGGCAACCCACCCCTATGGATCACCAAGACCAAGGACGGCACAGAAGTGTACATTAACAATGCAAAGATTCTCATGGAGTACAGCAACTTTGTATCGAAGCTGAGGTCCCAAAACGGCGACGTTATGATTCAGGTGAGAAAACTTCTGAATAAGAGAGAGTGTTTCCCTACTTTTATTCGCGTAAACATTGCTGTAGACACTGCTTGCTTGCGGCATTTGCAAAATGCTAATTCTCAAATGTCGATTTATCATTTTTTAACGAATTTACAAGACGAGCGAGAAGGTTTTAGAGCTGGATATAAATCTAGAAACGAAGCTTACTCACCTAAGAATGGATGCTCGTTTCGCGAGAGGGCGCCGAGAGATTCAGCTTCGGTTAATCGCGAGTTTATCTTGGCGAGCGATCGCTTTTATCCCCTTCGCGTTCGGCCTATACTTTTCTAACCGATTTCCCGGCAGCAACACCGCGTCACTTCGACCGTCCCGGCGTGCCGATGGCGGCTTTCTAACGAGCTTTTAATGAGCTTTACACGCTCGCCTTAGCCGCGAGACCATTAGGTTGATGGATATCGCGCGCCTCGATAATGTCGAACGGCGCTTCCTGGCATTCGCACTCTCGCGAGGGCCATCAGCTTGGTTATCGATGGAGCATCCGGCGCTCCTTGCGAATTAAACCCGGTGTTAAGGTCCGATTTATAATAATCAACCCGTCGAACTGTAAGCTATTTCGAGAGCAAGCTTATGCCAATGAAACGTGAATATTGAGAGGAGATAGCGCGATTACATGTAACTACTGCTTCGAGGAAACATAATCTAGCTGATGATTCCGAAATCCTAAAGCAATTTCAATTCAAGTGCTACACAATTTATAGAAATTCTCGAAATCTCGTATAATAAATTCTCTTTTTGTAAGGATTTTGAACGGGATTTAACGATTCGGCGTACCATGTTTTGCGCAAATGCAGCCAGATCGTTAAATTGCTGAAGATTTTCGAGGACTCTATCAAGCTGGGATCTTTTTCGAATATCCTGTAAATTCGTCGCCAATAGCGGTCTTCTCTTTTCAACGCATCTCTTGGCTGATTTGGGTTTTTGGTCTCGCAGGGAAGGTAGATCTCATTTCAGGTTGCCAGACGAATCCTTTAATCTATAGTTAAAGTACCATCACCTGATGAAAATCGCACGGGACTAGCTGGGCTACGACTAATCCCTTCGACGAGCTCGCCTGCAGATCAATCTCTCTCTCTCTTGCCTCCCGGTAATATTAGGGAAACTTTTCTCATCCACTTAACCCGGAAGTTCCATTGCCTCAGCTACTTCCTGCTCGTTACCAGTGCATGAAAATATCGGTCCATAAATCGCGTCTTCCGCCTTACTTTTTTCACGGAGACATAAGTTCTAATTAAATCGAAAAACATTTTTACCTTCGCAAGAAGTTATATATAATGTGCGTGGAAATTAATATATAATTAAACGTTTCTGCAAATTTATCATTATATTGACTATAGAGATGCGATACATGCATATGTAATTCAACTTTGAATCAGATAATTATAGCTCATCGTCCGGTTTAATATAGATTTAATAGAGTTAAAATTACTTTATATATCGATGTATTTATTATACATAAATAACCATAACAAGATCTGCGCGGAGCAGCTGATTATTGTTTTGTGAATTCGACGTAAAAACTATAATTTCCGTGTTGCGCATTCTGTGAGAATTAGTGATAATGATTGATTGTAACATTATCGTTAATAATTACGAGTGCGCTAATTAGCCATCGGCTGACCACCGGGATGCAATAACTTACATTAATCATCCGTAATTATTAATTGCAGAGTATCAATTCAATAACGCATGATTGATAGGGACAGCTAGACGAAAGTGAAATAATGGCGATCAATAGACGCGATAATTACGGCATCGAATAAGCAAAGATTTCAAACCGTAGAAGATACACATATATCATTGAAAAAGAATTTTCTCCAAAACAGGCTCCCTCGACTTTTCTTTGCGAGCAATGTGAATTTTTATTATCCCTTTTTCTCCAAAACTGTTAATTATTAATATTTAATGGAATCATATGCGTCATACTTTTATCTTGTAGACTAAATCCGCGAGCAAAAATGAAGATGTCTCTCGCTCTCTCGCTTTCTACGCATCGGATATAATAGGAACTGTCTCAACAATAGAACGGGTCAGCGATCCTTTTTCAGCCGGCCCGTCCCGCGAGCACGTTGCATATCTATCAATTCGAGAATGGATTTATGCGCATTGTCCCCGTACGTACAGCCGATAGACATACGTATTCCATTATACGGCATTCTCAGACGTGGGCAAAGAGTTTTATTCGACGGAGAGAAATATTCCGCCGATAGCGGGATCTTATTCTTTGCCGGGATGCGCTTTTTACCGTGGCGCATATCGAGGAATTACTCGATATCGGCGCAATATATATATATATATATATATATATATATATATATATGTCGAGTATTTTCTTCAATTTGAACTCGGCAAACCCTTGTCATGGCGTATTATCTTTCGGATATCGCGAGTCTCTCGCGAAAAACTATGTAACCGTCGATAGGTGGTTCGCAATTTGGCGAATGGCTTTCTCGTAACTGTCTATTTCTCGGCATTTTATGATTATGGACACCATGTATTTACGATACGCCGGATTAGAAATATAGTTCGACACGCGATGCGCACATTTTAAGTCAGTTTTAACTTATACAGTTCATCATCCCGTCTTTTATGTATCGAATTTAATGTTTCATTAGCAAAAGCGCGGCTTCGTTGAAGCGGATATATTATTCAAGCGATTTATTATTAAAACTGCTCGATTGCCGCTCCACTTTTCTCATCATTACCGTTTAAGATACACTAGGACGTTCGAGGAAGCCAATTTCAATTCATAGCGAGATATTCGTAGACTTTCGACCGATGTGTTTTTTTATTTCACTCCGTTCTTTCTGAAATATAGATTTTACGACGTCCTGGTGGATCCTCTCCTTCGATCTCCTGATAGATCGCGCGGGAAATCGAAATAAAAGAAGGAGAGCCTCTTCATCCCTGAACTTATGGCCAGTTTTATTACGTCTGCTCGTAAGAACGAGAGGAATTCGAAATGTTCCAATCCAATTTAGGAATATATTCGCAGATTTGTTGTCGCTCCCCTCTTTTCTCCCCACCTCTGAACTGTCTCCGGAAGATAAAATACGTATTTATTTCCTGTCACTCAAATGATGTTTTACTTTCTTGTAAGCACAGAATTCACTTCTGCAATCTCGACACGAATTTCGTTATCAAATTCTTTTTTCCGGAGATACAAAAAATTGTTGCGCCCCGTAACGTTGTTATGTTTGGAAAGACCTTGCTTGAAGATTATTTTCTTTTTTATTGTATGTAAAGATAGACATTTTCTTTCAGAATATGCGTAAACATGTAATAAAGCAAGAATTTGACGTTATGTTTTGAAGCTCGTGTCTTCAAATGTTTATGGAAAAAAATCACAAAGTAGAAATAGAAATTTATCGCGGCGGTTGTCTCGTTGTCAGCGACGAGTCGAGTAAGTCTTTTGCGATTACACCGATGTTTGTTTTGTTGTTTAATTTTAGTCTTTTACTTTTATCTGAGAGTTAATTTAATTTGCTGACGAGTGTTCATTTCTCTTCCGGGTCAGTGAAGTTTGTATTCTATTGGCCAAAAAAGAATTTCGGATAATGCAGAGAGAGAGAGAGAGAGACGGAGAGAAAGAGTTTAATTGTCGAGTTCCTCGCCGTACTAAGTCAGTTTATTTTATTTCTTTTTTTTCTATTTGTATTGAAATAAAGTTTATGAGACCGTTTCTTGCGGAATTCTTTTTCCACTTCACTTCTCCATCTCGATTGAAATAAAGTATGTTCTCTTATGTTAATTTTCTTTCGATTCTCTTCACACTTACTTAATCCTGAAACTTATTCCATAATTCGTTCCATTCCATTCTATAAAATAAAAGATTCGCAGATTGTAACCGGTAAAGCTCGAATTTTAGCCAAGTTCAGCGCGCGCTGCAAAGGAAAGGAGGCGCACTGCATAGCGCGGAAAGGCGGAAGGCAGTAAGAGAGAGCGAGAGAGAGAGAGAGAGAGAGAGAAAGAGAGAGAGAGAGAGAGAGAGAGAGAGAGAGAGTAG